GGAGATAGTTAATTCCAACGTGGGTTGGCTCCCAATAGAAGCAAGCATAAATACACGGAAATTGTTCTTCCTGGGACATCTTTGTCACTGTTCAAACCACCTCCTTCCAAAGAAGCTGTTTTTGACAAGACTCTCTCTTCACCGATACAACTGTGCTGTATCTAGTTTAGGTTTTGTCCAGGAAATATACAGGGTACTTTCAAAAACAGCTTGTATGGACTTGTAGATCATCTTGAAAAATTGTTATATCCGGTTCGTTTATGGCTCAAAAGTTATGGAAAAGTAAAAGTAAAGGAGACAGTTAGGCTATATGAACTAGAAGCGTGGAAGCAGAAGCAAAGGTTACATGTGGACCTAGACCCACACTTCCTGGACATTCACTCAGACATCACCCCTCACATGCCCTGGAAGCTTGGAAAGGTGTGTCGTTTCCTCATTACAATAATCTTTTCAGTTCATGTGTAAACAGTACCTATAAACAGTATGGAATATTTCGCAAAATCTAGTTTAGAACAGTTGACTGAAGTAAGTGGCTAAATTTACACTAGTGAGTCTAAACGGTTGATGGGTAGTACAGATAGATTGGAACTCTATCCGCAAATAGAAATATTTAGATGAAGTATTCTTACCGACGATTCTTAAAAACATTTATAATAACATTACAGAATAAAGAGAGTTTTCTAAGATTACCTTTCCTATTGTTATTGAATAATGTATACATTTTATGAAAATTTGGTTTGGAATAAAAATATGGCTTTAAATATTTAACTCTTGCATTTATAAAGTGAGAACAAATAAATATATAATGAAATTCATCGCCAATGTCGTTACCATTACAAAGTTTACATATTCTGTCAAGTTTTTGAATATTGCTCCAGCGGCCTGTTTCAATGGGTAAGTTATGTTCAAATTTCCAAATTTTGGGAATTCCAGACATAACCAAGTCAAAGTTCGTCAAAAATATGTTTAATGTTCATTATCCATTTATGTTTACTTTTTCCAAAATGTGTGTCGTTAAAAAGTAATTTAAAGATGAGTAAGGATAATTTGGAAGATTTACCTGATTAGTATGGCACTGATCAGTGAGTCAGGTTCATTTTAAGAGTAGGGTGCATTTTCTAATCCCAATGAGCCTACATTGTGATGTAGGCGAAATGAGATGTAGGCGAATTGAGATGTAGGCGAATAGACACTAAACCGTCCTACTCTGAAGACTGCTGCCGCTCGTAGTGAACCTTTGTGCTGCATGGTGACCAGGAGCTGCTTGTGGACGATGTGAGTCGTGCGGACAAATGTATGGTGACCTCGTTATCCACCAGATATGACACTGTACCAGTTTAGAGGACTCCCGAGAGGACTTATAGTGCAAATCCATGTGTGTCTCACCAGTAGAGTGTAGTGCTAACCTACACGCCGAAGCAGACTATGACCTGACCCCCAGTCTGCTGTCATGTAGGCCTCGGACTCGGACACAATCATGGACAACTCCAAAGTGATCGGCAGAGTACTGTATGCCCGAACATTTACCTACAGAGACATGCATCTAATATCGCGGTTGTCGCAGTATCGCTTTTGACACATTGTCGCATTTGTCACATTTCAATGATCATAGTAATCATCAATAAATGCAACATGTGCCCAGCAATATCACTGTACTTTTTCAAGAGGAATAAAAGTATATATATATATATATGTATATATAGATATAAATATTAATGCAATAAATATTGCACACAGATAGTGAAGAACTATAGAACTAATAATGTAATAAATATTGAACACAGCTGTACTTCCTCAAAGCCAACTTAGTTTATCAATACCAAGTTGTTATACTAAATATCTGTTCTATTCAATTCCCAACAGGGTGGTATTTCAAGGGGCGGTGGGGTAGCCTAGTGGTTAAAGCATTGGCTCGTCACGCCGAAGGCCCGGGTTCGATTCCCCACATGGGCACAATGTGTTAAGCCCATTTCTGGTGTCCCCCGCCGTGATATTGCTGGAATATTGCTAAAAGCGGCGTAAAACTAAACTCAGTCAGTCAGTGGTATTTCAAGAAATCGTTAGTGCACAGCAGAGGCGCTTCATGTTTACTAGTCTAGGTCAACAGCCTCCCGGGAGAAAGCCCCTGAGTGTTCAAAAGCCCCCCACTTTAGGTGTTAATGGGAAAATAAGACTGAAGATAAGAAATAATTAATGACATGAAACATTTTATTGCTTCAGAATATAATGACCCTAAGTAATATATGAATTAATATGTAATTAGCAAATAATTTTAGTAAGTCAGAAATAAATACCATCAAAATAAATGAAAGCAAATCAACAAGAAATGATTAATGACATGGAAAATTGTGTTGCATCATAATTAATAATTGTGATTGAGTGAGTGAGTGAGTTTAGTTTTACACCTCACTCAGCAAAATTCCAGCTATATGGCGGCGGTCTGAATTAATAATTAACCAAATCAGATTCAGGAGGGAAGAATCCTTCTCATTGTCCCCGGCGGTTATACAGGACCACGTGGATGCTGGATGCGACGGTAGTGGCCGCTAACATATGTCATATCAATATAGGACCCTATAGTCCGACACCATAGCCCTTGAGGCTGTTCCTACAACAGTACTACTGCTACTTTACCCTAGTAAAACATCCCACGGAAAATCAAAAAAAATTTATGATAGTTTGTTAAGTAACTTTTTTTATTTTGGAGACAAACGTTATGAAACTTTTTTCCAGAGTTGGTCTGATGTTTTCATTACATTGCGCATTGAAATGAATGCTTGGTCATGAACCGACTTGGAGTTAGATTGTGATTCATCGGTATCATTTTGACCCAAACATACACTAGTTCATGAATCCAGGGGCTTTTGACAGGGGTGCTCAGATTAGCGACGGGCTTTTGTCTAGAGGGGCTTATGGTCTAGGGGCTTTTGTACCAAGGGGCTTTTGTCCCGAGGGACTACCCAAGGTTTTCTACGTGTAGCTTTATCTAACCAGAGACTTGAGGGGCTGGAAGGTGATTTCAAAAAGCGCTTTTCAAAACTTCCGTGTTTGATGTCAATCTTGTCAAATAAATAACTAAATCAGTTTTACTTCAAAAGGACTTTTTTACCGAGGACTTTTTCTCTTATACTCATCCAGCTCTTGTAGTAGGCGTTGACTATCGCTGGTGGCAAAGCAGAGGATTTTGTCGTCCTGGCCGCCATCAACACAGAGGAAGGGCTGCCCGTCCGTCGTCTCCTTGTAGCAGTCTGGAAGATCAACCTCGCTCAGCGACTGGAGACTGGAAACGTCTTCCTCCTCTGCTTGTACAGGTCGCTCTTCATGGAGTGAAACGACTTCATCGTGGCTGCCTCGTCTCGTGGGGACTGGTTGATTTCCTCGTCGTAGATTACCTTCACTGGTGTCGTCTCAGCTTGCACTCTCTGACGGGGGATGCTGACAGTCTTCAGGCTGCTTAGTCTTCTGATGGATGGTTGTGGAGACTGGCTTCTGGTGAACTGGCCAACAGTAGTACACTTGCCCAGACATCCCTTAATTGTACACACTTCCGATATACACAAGTCGGTCGCCGGTTGTTGCGTGTATATCTAAATCCTTCCAAGACTGACTGACTGACTGAGTTTGGTTTTACACCGCTTTTAGCGATATTCCAGCAACATCACGGCGGGGGACACCAGAAATGGGCTTCTACACTGTATCCATGTGGGGATTCGAACCCGGGTCTGCCACTAGGCTACCCCACCGCCCCTCCTTCCAAGAGGATCTGCTGTCCTCCTTTCTGGGACGTGAAGTTCGCGACTTTCTTTGGATTCACCATAATTTGTACCACATAACTTCATAGCAATTATTTTCTCGTAATCCATTTCCTTGCCATTAATACAATTTTCCTTCTCACTATTCACTATTGCCAACACACTTGAGTACTGATAATAAGACGTCCTGCGTGTTGATAGACTCAGTTAATGATAACAAATTAATTAAATTTAAGATACATTTCACCACTGGCCTTTACTCTTCTCAGATTCCTTCTGAATTGATTATCTGATGCCACTGTAGGCGATGGTGTACAGTGAGCGGACCAGCCTACTAATGTGCAGGTAAGCGTGACTGAGCCCCCTTCTTACGACTCAGTGTAGGCGTAAGTCCACTATGAACACTGTAGGCAATAGTTGCTTGTTGCAGATTGCTTTGCTGAAACTGTCTCTCAACTTTCTCTTTGGACGCTAGTTTACACTCACGAGCTTGATGACTGATGTCCTTCTGTATGCATTTGAGTTTTATTCTATTTTTTTTCATGTATGCTCGTTTCTTTTCGTTTAATAAAGATTTCATTTCTTTTGTGATCCAGGGCTTGTTGTTTGGGAAAATTCTGATTTAAAAAAATATAAATCTCATACCACATTGATCCGACTGTGTTTTACACCATAGGCTGTACTGCCCACCATTGTAAACACGTGTTACCACTGTCAGAGGCTACATTGATTTGTGAAGTCGGACTTGTGTAGTCGATATGACCCACATGTTACCACAACGACGTGTTTGACAATGTTTGGGTACAGCGACTCAACACTGACTGTATGTCCTGTAGTTTAACCTTCCAGGAAGACACTCTACACCTCTGTATGTCCTGTATGTCAAGGTTCCTGCAGTTACATTAACGGCTCCCGCAAGAATCCCCAAGCACGGACTAGTCAGTAAGTGAACTATACACAAACATGTATGGAACATCATGACCACGTGTCTGCTTCCATTTCACGGAGTATTAAGTGTTAGTGGATTATTTTGCTCCCTCGCTCCCTACCTACCAACCACTGGCCCACCCAAACACCCATGTCTCCGATCCACCCACCCACACAAATGTGGGGGTATTTTGTCCGGTTACTGTTTGTCTGGGGGCGTTATGCCCTTGTGGGCGTATTGTCCTACCACCTATGAAACAACGCTATCTTCTACTAGTATTACACTCAAACTCTTATCCACAGGCCACAGGCCATGACAGTGAGGGCTGCGATGACAAACTCAAGATCCCCCCAAATCAGTAGCCATTTAAGCAGCAGCCAGGAGTCAGAGTGGGATGACGTGCTCCCAGTACCCAAACTCAGATTTTCTGTGGCATCTGTCCTCGTCTTCTGTTTAGCAGTGTTGTGTTTTGCGAACAGTTATGACGGAGACTTTGTCCTTGATGATTATGTTGCCGTCCTGTACAACAAAGACCTGCTTCCCGAGACCCCGCTTTCCGCCATTTTCGCTCATGACTTTTGGGGGAACAAGTTGGACTATAGAAGCCACAAATCCTACAGACCTCTCACCACCATGACTTACAGGTAAGGACATGCATCATTATTAACAACTGGGGTTTATAACTGAAGTTTAAGCGAAATACCCTTTCTATAATAATAATTCAAATCATGCTCTAAAACAGTCCCTTGGATATCGTACAAAGGACATATCGCCAGTCCCAGCAAGGGATAATGTCCTTAACCAATAACTGAGCTATTATGTTTTCTTGATGTAATACTGGTTTCATATTGGTTTCACAATGTGATATTGATAAAACTGATTTGGTGAAACCCGGATTGTTCGTAACAGCTACAAAAGACACGTGTTTCTTTCAATTGGAAGTACCGAAAATGATATTGTTTTCACATCCTGGAGGTCTATTGATATTTAGGAATGATGGTTTGTTTTGACAAAAAATTCCCAGCGAAAGGATACTGTTCTTGTTTGTACACGTTATTAAAAGTAATGTTCTAGCCATGTGATATTTGCCTGAATAGAATTATGTCTCCTCAATTGCAGGTGGAACTACGCATGGGCAGGATCTATGCAGCCTGAAGGATTCCACGTAGTCAACATCGTCCTGCACGGCTTGGTGTCGGTCATCTTCCTGGCAGTATTCTCTGTCCTCATGTCTGGTTACCAGGTTGACCAGGAATCTGCCAGGCCGGTGTTTGCCTCACCCCGAGCTGCCCTCCTGTGTGCTGTGTTGTTTGCTGTGCATCCTATCCATACTGAAAGTGTGAGTAACAACTGTAGGTCCATTGTCCTAATGCATATTTGTCCATCACAAGAATGGACATAAGTTCAGTAAATTTACTGAAAAGACTTTAACGTCTATATGCGGAATTGCGTTGATAACGTCTGAATTTTGTCAAAGTGATTTCACTCAATTTAAACGTTTACAGTACATGCCTTAGATTAACGTTTAGTCTCTTATATTTGGATACAAATAAAAAAAACCATTCAAAAAAGGAGACCCAGTGAGAAAAGAGACTCATTCACTCACTCACTCACTCACTCACTCAATCACTCACTCACTCACTCACTCACTCAGGACATCATGTAGCCCATTTATTGCATTTCATGTAATTCATTTTTTCAGGTAGCAGGGATCGTGGGTCGGGCCGACCTGCTGTGTGCCTTGACTTTCCTTCTATCGTTCCTGTTGTACGCCAGGGCCTGTCTCCCAAGTAAGTCTTCATAGCTATCATATCATGACTATAACATACACGCTGTCAGGGAGTGCCTTTCACGTAAGTCTTCATAGCGATCATATCCTGACTGTAACATACAAGCTGTCAGGGGTGCCTCTCACGTAAGTCTTCATAGTGATCATATCCTGACTGTAACATACAAGCTGTTAGGGAGTGCCTTTCACGTAAGTCTTCATAGCTATCATATCCTGACTGTAACATACAAGCTGTTAGGGAGTGCCTTTCACGTAAGCCTTCATAGCTATCATATCCTGACTGTAACATACAGGCTGTTAGGGAGTGCCTTTCACGTAAGTCTTCATAGCTATCATATCCTGACTGTAACATACAAGCTGTCAGGGAGTGCCTTTCACGTAAGTCTTCATAGCTATCATATCCTGACTGTAACATACAAGCTGTCAGGGAGTGCCTTTCACGTAAGTCTTCATAGCTATCATATCCTGACTGTAACATACAAGCTGTCAGTTGCCTTTCACGTAAGTCTTCATAGTTATCATATCCTGACTGTAACATACAAGCTGTCAGGGAGTGCCTTTCACGTAGGTCTTCATAGCTATCATATCCTGACTGTAACATACAAGCTGTCAGGGAGTGCCTTTCACGTAAGTCTTCATAGCTATCATATCCTGACTGTAACATATAGGCTGTCAGGGAGTGCCTTTCACGTAAGTCTTCATAGCTATCATATCCTGACTGTAACATACAAGCTGTCAGGGAGTGCCTCTCACGTAAGTCTTCATAGCTATCATATCCTGACAGTAACATACAAGCTAGCAGGGCCTATCTCTCACGTAAGTCTTCATAGCTATCATATCCTGACTGTAACATACAAGCTAGCAGGGCCTGTCTCTCACGTAAGTCTTCATAGCTATCATATCTTGACCGTAACATATACGCTGTCAGGGAGTGCCTTTCACGTAAGTCTTCATAGCTATCATATCCTGACTGTAACATACAAGCTGTCAGGGAGTGCCTTTCACGTAAGTCTTCATAGTTATCATATCCTGACCGTAACATATAGGCTGTCAGGGAGTGCCTTTCACGTAAGTCTTCATAGCTATCATATCCTGACTGTAACATATAGGCTGTTGGTTGGTTGGTTTGTTGTTTAACGCAGTACTCAGCAATATTCCACTATTTGGCATCGGTCTGTAAATGATCCAGTCTGGACCAGGTGATTAACAGAGGTGCTGCGGTAACCTTGTGTGTAATGGGCAGACACGTTATGTTGAAGTCCATGGTTCGACTCTCGACACATCTAAATATGATGAGGACAGTTACGGGTGTTCACTCACTCACTCAGCGACCTACCCAATCACCTACCAGGCGGCTTGTAAATAATACTGTAATGCTAAATATGTATTACAAATTGCTTTGAATGACATTTGAATTTATTCAACCACCTGTCTGCCCACTAACTCACTCACACACTCGCTCACCCACCGACTAAAACATTCACCCACTCACTCACCCATCCGGTTAATCAACCACTGACCGACTCACCTGTTATGTCACCTGTTATGATTTCAGCTTCATGCCTGGTCAGCTATCGTCCCAAGTCCTTCTCCCTGGTGTCTATACTGGCCAGTATGTGTCTGTGTCTCGTGTCTTGGATCTTTTCTGATTTCAGCTTCATGCTTGGTCAGCTACCGTCCCAAATCCTTCTCCCTGGTGTCTATACTGGCCAGTATGTGTCTGTGTGTCATGTCATGGATCCTTCTGATTTCAGCTTCATGCCTGGTCACTTACCGTACAAAGTCCTTCTCCCTGGTGCCTATACTGGCCAGTATGTGTCTGTGTGTCATGTCATGGATCTTTCTGATTTCAGCTTCATGCTTGGTCAGCTACCGTCCCGAGTTCTTCTCCCTGGTGTCTATACTGGCCAGTATGTGTCTGTGTGTCATGTCATGGATCTTTCTGATTTCAGCTTCATGCTTGGTCAACTACAGTCCCAAGTCCTTCTCCCTGGTGTCTGTACTGGCCAGTATGTGTCTGTGTGTCATGTCATGGATCTTTCTGATTTCAGCTTCATGCTTGGTCAGCTACCGTCCCGAGTCCTTCTCCCTGGTGTCTATACTGGCCAGTATGTGTCTGTGTGTCATGTCATGGATCTTTCTGATTTCAGCTTCATTCTTAGTCAGCTACCGCCAGAGTCCTTCTCCCTGGTGTCTATACTGGCCAGTATGTGTCTGTGTGTCATGTCATGGATCTTTCCGATTTCAGCTTCATTCTTAGTTAGCTATCGTCCCGTGTCCTTCTCCCTGGTGTCTATACTGGCCAGTATGTGTCTGTGTGTCATGTCATGGATCTTTCTGATTTAAGCTTAATTCTTAGTCAGCTACCGCCAGAGTCCTTCTCCCTGGTGTCTATACTGACCAGTATGTGTCTGTGTGTCATGTCATTAATCTTTCTGATTTCAGCTTCATTCTTAGTTAGCTATTGTCCCGTGTCCTTCTCCCTGGTGTCTATACTGGCCAGTATGTGTCTGTGTGTCATGTCATGGATCTTTCTGATTTCAGCTTCATGCCTGGTCAGCTACCGTCCCGAGTCCTTCTCCCTGGTGTCTTTACTGGCCAGTATGTGTCTGTGTGTCGTGTCATGGATCTTTCTGATTTCAGCTTCATGCTTGGTCAGCTACCGCCCCGATTCCTTCTCCCTGGTGTCTATACTGGCCAGTATGTGTCTGTGTGTCGTGTCCACCTTCTGCAAGGAGCAGGGCATCACTGTCATAGTAAGTCACTGTCAGAGCGCTTTCATGAAACTGATCATAACACACTTCTTTTACCCAGCACCGACCGTTGTACCAGAATCCATCTCAAAGCTTTTCTCATGAATGAAAAGTAGCAACACTGTAATGCTATTGTATCTACGCGCTCACTTAGTCATATATCATAAAGTTACTGTAGCATAATATCTTGACATAAATGTGTTAAAAAGATACTGTAAAACCTTTCCAGTGGCAACGACTGATAAGCTAGTCTGTAAATGAAACTGCTCAATCTCTATAGGTTGTACCTGTTTCAGCTTGACAAAATGTCTGGCCAATAGTGATTCACAGTATAATGGTTGTAGATGTTTTGCATTTGCAGGGTATTTGTAGCGCGTTTGACATAATCGTTGTATGTGAAGTCGATCCTTTCCATTGGTTGGGACTCAACAAGGCAAGCAGGTCCAAGGAAGATAAATTAAAGAAGGTAAGCAGTCAAATCGAAATTGATTGATTGATTGATTGGTTGGTCGGTTGGTTGGTTGGATGGTTGGTTGGTTGATTGGTTGATGGTTGGATGGTTGGTTGGTTGTTGATGGTTGATTGGTTGGTTGATGGTTGATTGGTTGATTGGTTGATGGATTGATTGAAGTTAGCAACGCATTGAGAAATAATAATACCTATGTTCGTTTCCATTGTCTTGCCTATTATGTGTATCGCGACGCGACCCTGCGCACACACCTGCACACTCCAACAAACCAAAGTTTCGGCTGTATTAAAAGGCATGAGAATAAGGGGGTTCAGACATTTCTATGATATTATGTTCTGTAATATCCATTCTCACTGACATGATGAGTCCCATCCGGGATTCGAACTCACACTTTCAGTCAGACACCTAAACGCCAGTACACAAAGTCAGCGATCTAACCCCCGCGGTTTCCACAACAATGAGGGGTTCGAGTCATGGATGGAGCTGAACCCCAACAAGTTTAGGGGTTGTACTTTACTGAGAAAATGTTATCCCAACTCGGGCATATGTTACATTTGGCCACTTTTCCACATGACATTGTGTATTCAAACACAGAGTACGTGATCTAGACTACCAGTTGCCAGACTTCCATTCTTGTGGAGGCTTCGGTGGCTGGGTGGGTTAGATGGCTGACTGTGTGTGTTGGCGATCATGTGCCTAACTCTGAAACTGTGGATGTTCTTTAATGAGAACGTGTAATCCCAAATATGACACATGTTATGTTGCCACTAGTTATGTTGTATGGCACCTTTGAACTGTATGCCTTTACATATCTTCCAGTTTAACCGACCGCGATGGGTCAATGGTCTCATCCAGCGTCACCTCATCTTGTTTATAACCGGCGTGTTGGTCCTGAACATTCGACTGCGGGTCATGGGATCAATGCCTATATTCGATGTCAACTTCATCCCGCATGCCTATGTCAATGGCACAATATACAGAGTAAGTAGAGTCTGCTGAAAAACGATGTAACAGGGGTGAGTGAGTGAGTGGGGGCGGGCTTCACGCTTTGAACCAATATGGGGAATCGAACCCGGGTTTTCAGCGTGGCGAGCGGGCGCTTAAATCACTAGGCTACCCCACCGCCCCGTTGTACCAGGAAATAGTCCTACATGACCATGTGTGACCCTTCTCTTCCAAATACATTCGTGACCAACTCGTGTTATTCCGGGACAAGCCGCTTCTTGGAGGTTACGGAAAGAGGCGAGTGGTGACGAATGCTTCTTGGAGGTTACGGAAAGAGGCGAGTGGTGACGAATGTGCCAAATACAGTCAGTTGTCTGTTGGTGTCTGTTTGATGTTTAACGCCACACTCAGCACTGTTCCAGCTATATGGCGGCGGTCTGTAAATAATCGAGTCTGGACAATGCAGTCCAGTGATCAACACCATGAGCATCTATCTACGCAAATGGGATACGATGACATGTATCAACCAAGTTAGCAAGCCTGACCACCCGATCCCGTTAGTCGCCTCTTACGACAATGGCAGCGACAAAACCCTGTTTCCACATTCATAAGAAATCTCTGCCAAAAGCAGAGTCGACTGTACAATTCTAACCCGGATGTTCACAGGTAATTGTTTGTTGGAAGAGAGTGATGTCACACAATTATCTTCAAGGGTTCGTCTGTCAGTGATTGGGATTAGTCCCGTATATAGATACAAATAAACTCTACCTAGAAAACTGGAAATCTCATTTTGTTACCTATGAAAATATATTATCTAACGGCATTTTGGAAATTGTGCGTATTACGGAAGCGTCCTAGTGCCACAGTCAGAATTTTTTTTATCTCCTAATTAGGACTTAGCTATGTCCTAATTAGGTGATACTATCTCCTAATTAGGACTTAATATCTCCTAATTAGGACATAGCTATCTCCTAATTAGGACTTAGCTATCTCCTAATTAGGACTTAGTATCTCCTAATTAGGACTTAAGGATCTTATAAATATGTATGAAAAAGTCAACCAGTAGTCATTCACTTCTTCTGTTTGGGTTTAGCATCTTGGATGAAGTCATGGATGAAAGCATATGCATTTGTTTCATGTTGGACATGCAGTATTCAGAAATTGTGTCTTGTTTGGTCCATGTAAATGGCATCATTATCAGCATGAAGACTTTGAAAAGGAAATCAAAACGACTGAATCTGTTTAGGCGAAGACATAATAGTGATATGGCAGAAGTTGCTATGTTCGTAGTGAAAGTGAGTAAGTGAGTATGGTTTTACGCCGCTTTTAGCAATATTCCAGCAATATCACGGCGAGGGACCGTAGTGAAAGAGGTAGAAGAATCAGGACAAATGTGTGCTTACAAGCTTATGCATCTGAAATGCATACAAGAGGGATTCATTATCAGTCAAGACATGGTGCTTCATTTGCTGCATTTAGTAGTGGCAGAAATGAGAGTACAAGAACACCCAACTGCATGTACTTCCATAGAGATCGGGTAGCCTCCCTGAATGTGAGAGGGTACCACACAAATGACGTCACTAGGGGGAATCCCCCTTGTTTCTTCTATAGCATGGCCGACGCCATGTTGAAATAAACAATGATAACATACAACTTCTATACACAATATTTAATATCCCCGTGCATGCAGAATGGACATGGGTAGGAGATCCTCCCCAAGCCACCCTTACAATCTATATACAGATGTCTCTTGAAATATACAAATACACTTTACACATCTCTCTACCATGTGGTGGTGTCTGGTGGTATGTGGTGGTGATGGTGGTGTGTTTTGGTATGTGGTGGTGGGTGGTGGTGGGTGATGGTGATGTTGGTGATGGTGGTGTGTGGTGGTGTGGTGGTGTGGTGGTGTGTGGTGGTGTGTGGTGGTATGTATTTGTGTGTCTGGTGGTAGTGGTGGTGGTGCTGTGTCTGCTGCTGCTGCGGCTGCGTCTGCGTCGTCGTCAGCGTCAGTGGAACCACATTTTGGCATTCATCAGAATGTTTGACTCTCATGTGTCTCTTCAAATCATAGGGGCGGTGGGGTAGCCTAGTGGTTAAAGCGTTGGCTCGTCACTCCAAAGACCCGGGTTCGAATCCCCACATGGGTACAATGTGTGAAGCCCATTTCTGGTGTCCCCCGCCATGATGTTGCTGGAATATTGCTAAAAGCGGCGTAAAACCAAACTCAGTCAGTCAGTCAGTCTTCAAATCATAAGACCATGTATAAGTATTTCCACACAAAGAACAGATATCCATCTTGATGTTTCTCCTCAAAAGGTCAGTGACAGAACAACAAGGTTCTGGGCTATTCATACTTCCATTCATTGGCTCTTCTCTGATTCTCCAATGACCATAGGCCAGACTGGTTACAACATCTTCGGGTAGATATTGCTTGTCATTGAAGGGAGACGACCAAATATCAGTGCATAAAATGGGGTAATATCGGAAATGCTAATGGAACTACTATTAAATTAATTGTTGTGATTGCACGTGTAAAAATGACTGTAAAACTTAGTGATAACGTTTTGTTTGTTTTTATAAACATGGTTTACAATATAGTTGTGCAAGATGATTTGAAAGGTAGGCCTACTAACCCACTGACCTAGTTATACAGGTCACGTCGGTTGTACATAGCCAGGCGTGTATGCACAGGCTAAGACTCGAAATATATTATTGGACACAAGTGGACAGACATTACACTATATATAAAACTATGTATGAACCTGGGACAGCCTTCTGTTCAGTTGGGAAGACGTATGTATGTAGCCTGTTACAGATTCGTAGGACAGTAAGGACTGTGCTTATATGACAAGGCATGCTTACATGACGATCTGAAAAAATGTGACTGTTGATCTCATAGATTATATGGATTATGCGATACAGTGGATAAATAATAATGAACAGGTGACGTCATTGGCGTTGGGTGTTCTGGTACTCTTATTTCTACCACTACTAAATACAGCAAAGGCGCACCGTGTCTTGACTGACAGCGAATCCCTCTTGTATGCGTTTCAGATGCATAAGCTTGTAACCACATATTTGTCCTGATTCTTCTATAACATATGTTATATTTGGGATAACACTTTCTTAGTAAAGTACCATTCTAGTACTTTTGTTGGGTTGAGTCCCATCAGGGATGGCATCCAATCGCCAGCCATCCGATCGCCAGCACACAAAGTCAGCCGGCTCACCCACCGCGACTTCCAGCCACCGCTGGCGATTAGGTGCCTGACTCTGAGGGTGTGGGTTCGAAACCCGGATGGGACTCAACCCGACAAAAGAACTAGAATTTGTACTTTTCTAAGAAAGTGTAATCCCATATATAACATAGGTTACATCTGACCACTTTCTAAATGGCACTGTGTAATCACTGGTTCTTCTACCTCTTCTACCTCTTTCACTATAGTATGTCTTCGCCTACATAGTTTCAGTCGTTTTGATTTCCTTTTCAAAGTCTTCATGCTGATAATGATGCCATTTACATGGGCCAAACAAGACACAATTTCTGAATACTGCATGTCCAACATGAAACAAATGCATATGCTTTCATCCATGACTTCATCCAAGATGCTAAACCCAAACAGAAGAAGTGAATGACTACTGGTTGACTTTTTCAAACATATTTATTAGATCCTTAAGTCCTAATTAGGAGATAGCTAAGTCCTAATTAGGAGATAGTATCTCCTAATTAGGAGATAGCTATGTCCTAATTAGGAGATAGTATCACCTAATTAGGAGATAGCTATGTCCTAATTAGGATATAGTATCACCTAATTAGGAGATAGCTAAGTCCTAATTAGGAGATATTAAGTCCTAATTAGGAGATAGTATCACCTAATTAGGAGATAGTATCACCTAATTAGGAGATAGCTATGTCCTAATTAGGAGATATTAAGTCCTAATTAGGAGATAGTATTACCTAATTAGGAGATAGCTAAGTCCTAATTAGGAGACATTAAGTCCTAATTAGGAGAAAGCTAAGTCATAATTAGGAGACATTAAGTCCTAATTAGGAGATAGTATCACCTAATTAGGAGATAAACAAAATTCTGTTTGTGGCACTAGGACGCTTCCGTATGTTATCAATTATTTCTAGGTTTTAAACTACAACTACCTCTATGCCATCAATATCTGGTTGCTGTTGAATCCATGGTGGCTGTGCTGTGAATGGTCAATGGGTTGTATACCTGTCATCACCTCATTGGCTGATCCTAGAATCTTGGCAGTCATAGCTCTCTGGACTGGGTTTGGTGCTATCGTGTTCCATTGCTGTAACGGGAAGGTCACACATGATCGCCGGTGAGCAGTACTAATATCCTCAGAGGTTATCGTATTTAAAGTGTATTCGGCTAGTTGTTGGTAGTTTAAATGTCAACCACCGTGGCTAAACAGCGTAGTTGCGCTTCTGCGTACAGATCACATGTGAAAAAAATTGGTAAAGTTAAGAAGGGGCTAGGAGAGTATGTAGAAGAATAATGGTGTTCGCCCATTTTACGACATTCTCGGGATTCTAGTTCATCAGGGGCTTGGAGAGTATGTTGCAGAATATGATTGGAATATGGCCCAGTATGATTAGTTTTCTGTTTTTCTTTTATTACTTCTTTGCTACACCATTATCCCCAATAACTCACTGACTCACTCACCCAACCGTTTCTAGAGTAGATCTTTCTACGCCTGATTTATCTTGTCTGACGATTCCATGTTGTTAATGTTTCTATCTACAGCATCCTGATAACGTCCCTGGCAGTATTAGGGGTTCCCTTCCTGCCAGCCAGCAACCTGTTATTCCGTGTGGGCTTCGTGATCGCAGAGAGGATTCTGTACCTGTCCTGTGCTGGCTTCTGTATGTTGGTGGTGCTCGGGGCCAGACACATCTGTTATAAATTTCACTCTACTGCCAGACAGGTAATTTTATATACAGGCTTATGGTGTTGATTTCATGCGAAAGTCCTGAGATGTTAGTGCATCTTGGTTGATCGTATGAACTTTAGTTTCGTGAATATTTCCATTAGTAGTCCAAAGGATAGTCGTAATACCAAGAGTGTGGTCAATTACAGTGAATGTCATTTTCATTGAAGTTTACCGTGCACATCAGTGTACAGTATAAATGTTTTTGCTTTCAATATGTCCATGTTTAATTTGACCATGTTTGTTTTGCAGATGGTTACGGCGGGATTCGCATGCCTCATAGCTGTATTTGTTCTTAGGTCAATTCAGGTAGGTGCCTGAAGTTGAAACTAATTCATCATAGAATCTGTAAATAATCGGTATCAAAACATTTAACAACAACATCGACGATGCGTACCCACCTACTATTGTCCATTCAAGTTCCTATCAGTACATTCATTCCCACCTTCTTCCACAACACTATATCCTTCACCGAGCAAGTTCCCGACACTGTTTTCCTCTGCCCCTTATGCATTAACCCTATTTCGTAATAAAAGCGTCCTTCTCAAAACGGCTATCCTTTCATGTCCCCCTTATGCATTAACCCTACCTCGTTATCCACCCGTCCTTCTCAACACAGCTATCCTTTCATGTCCTCTTTATGCATTAACCCAACCTCGTTTTCCACCCGTCCTTCTCAACACAGCTATCCTCCCGTGCCCCTTATGCAAAACCCCCCACCTCGTTATCCACCCGTCCTTCTCAACACAACTATCCTTTCCTGTGCCCCTTATGCACAAATCCCCACCTCGTTATCCACCCGTGCTTCTCAACACAGCTAATATCCTTTCATGTCCCCCTTATGCATTAACCCTACCTCGTTATCCACCCGTCCTTCTCAACACAGCTATCCTTTTATGTCCTCCTTATGCATTAACCCCGCCTCGTTATCCACCCGTCATTTTCAACACATGTATCCTTTCATGTCCTCCTTATGCATTAACCCCACCTCGTTATCCGCCCGTCCTTCTCAACACAGCTATCCTTTTATGTCCTCCTTATGCATTAACCCTACCTCGTTATCAACCCGTCCTTCTCAACACAGCTATCCTTTCCTGTCCCCTTATGCATTAACCCTACCTCGTTATCCACCTGTCCTTCTCAACACATCTATCCTGTCCTGTCCCCCTTATGCATTAACCCCACCTCGTTATCCAACACAGCTATCAATTTATGTCCTCCTTATGCATTAACCCTACCTCGTTATCCACCCGTCCTTCTCAACACAGCTATCCTTTCCTGTGCCCCTTATGCATTTACCCCACCTCGTTATCCGCCCGTCCTTCTCAACACAGCTATCCTTTTATGTCCTCCTTATGCATTAACCCTACCTCGTTATCAACCCGTCCTTCTCAACACAGCTATCCTTTCCTGTCCCCCTTATGCATTAACCCTACCTCGTTATCCACCTGTCCTTCTCAACACATCTATCCTGTCCTGTCCCCCTTATGCATTAACCCCACCTCGTTATCCAACACAGCTATCAATTTATGTCCTCCTTATGCATTAACCCTACCTCGTTATCCACCCGTCCTTCTCAACACAGCTATCCTTTCATGTCCCCCTTATGCATTAACCCCACCTCGTTATCAACCCGTCCTTCTCAACACAGCTATCCTTTCCTGTGCCCTTATGCATTAACCTTCCTCCTCGTTATCAACACAGCTATCAATTTATGTCCTTATGCATTAACCCCACCTCGTTATCCACCGTCCTTCTCAACACAGCTATCCTTTATGTCCACTCCTTATGCCATTAACCCTACCTCGTTATCCAGCCTGTCCTTCCTTTATCCTTTCCTGTGCCCTTGCGCATTAACCCTACCTCGTTATCCACCCGTCCTTCTCAACACAGCTATCCTTTTATGTCCTCTATGCATTAACCCTACCTCATTTATGTCCCGTCCTTCTCAGCACGCTATCTTTTATGTCCTTATCCATTAACCTACCTCCTATCAAACCCGTCCTTTATGCTATCCACTTATGACGCTTATGCATTAACCCCACCTCGTTATCCGCCCGTCCTTCTCCAGCTTATCCTTATGTCCTCCTTATCCACCCGGGTCTTCTTTACTATCGCCTACCTCGTTATCCACCTGTCCTTCTCCCAGGTCACTTTAGCTATCCTTTTTATCCTCCTTCATGCCATTCCTACCTCGTTATCAACCCTGTCCTTCCTCAACACGGCTATCCTTTTCATGTCCCCTTGTGCATTACCGTCCTTCCTCCTTATCCTTTCCTGTCCTTCCTATCCCACCTCATCCACTTATCCTTATCCACCATCCTCCTTGACCATTCCATACCTCCTGTTCTACAATGCTTCCTCAGCCCTTTCATCCACCGTCATTATCCACCGTCCTCAGCACGGCTTATCCTTGTCCATTATCCACCCATTCCTCACACTTCCTTCCTTATCCTTCCATTATCATATCATTTCGTACCTCGTGTCCTTTCCATTATCCATTTCTTCCTTCCTGTCCACCTCGTTGCGCTTCGTTTCCCTTATCCGATGACCCTCCGTTATCCTATCCTGTCTCATGTGCCCTTGTATTGTCCACTCGTTTCATTTCCACTTCGTTTCCTGGTCCATATCGTTGTCCTTCCGTCCTTTCCTGTCCCAGCACATCCTTTCGTAAATTGTCCACCTCCGTTATCCACTTCATTTCTTTCCCTTCAGCTATCCTTCTCAGCTTCCTGCTTCCTTATAATCCCACCTCATTATACACGTTCGGCTGCACGTCCTTCTCCATGTTTATCCTTTCATGTATCATTCCACGTGTACCTCGTTATCCTTCCGTCATTACTCAGCACTGTCCTCCTTGTCCATTCTTTCCTTCGTTAGCCCTGCCTCGTTGTCCATGTCCTTCCAGCTATCCTTTCCTGTCCTCCTTATGCGTGCCGTTCTCCCTGTCACGGCAATAGGTAACCCTGCCTCGTTATCCATGTATCCTTTTCAGCACGTCCTTCCTCCACTGTCGTTATCCTTCCGTCCGTTCGTGTCCACCTTCGTTGTCCAGTCCTGTCCTCATTTCCACCATCCGTTATCTGTGCATTTCCTGTGTGTTTGACTGTATCTCATGTCCTTGGCCCTCGTTGTCCGTCTGTATCGCTGTGACGCGCTTGAACCGACAGTCCTTGTCCATATTGTCATTCGTTGTCCGTTATTACTTGGGTGTCCTATCCTTTATGTCCTTTCGTTGTCCATGGCCCTCGTTATCCTTCAGCACCGTCGTGTTGTCATGCTCCCGCATCGTTATCCGCTTCATTTTCCTGTGTCCCGTTATGCCGTTAACCCTACCTCGTTATCCACCCGTCCTTCTCACATTCCTTATGTCCTGTCCCCTTATGCATTTAACCCTCCGTTCATACACCCGTCCTTTCAACACAGTATCCTTTCCTGTGCCCTTATGCTGTAACCCCACCTCGTTATCCACCGTCCTTTCTCCAGCTATCGGCTTTATGTCCTCCTTATCCATTAACCCACCTCGTTCGTTCACCCGTCCTTGTCCACTTCGTTTCCTTTCCTGTCGTCCTCCAGCTTCGTCCTACCTCGTTGTCTCACTGTCCTCGTACAGCTATCATTTCATGTCTCTTTACGTTATCCACCTGTTGTCTTTTCTCAGCACAGCTATCGTTTTCCTGTCCTCTCATTTACATTAACCCTACCTCGTTGTCCATCCACCTGTCCTTCGTATCCTGTGTCCGTTATCCATTGTCCCACGCATCGTCATCCACACCTCATTTCGTGCACAGCTATCCTTTTCCTGTCCTCCTTATACATTAACCTACCTCGTTATCCTTTCCTTTGTGTCCTTCTCAACACGGCTCGTCCTTTCATGTACCCCTTGTGCATTAATCGTTACCTCGTTATCCACTATCCATTTTCAGCACAGCTATCCTGTTCCTGTCCTCGTTATGCATTCTGTGTCCTCGTATACACCCGTCCTTCTCAACACGGCTATCCTTTCATCCACCCGTACCCCTTATGCATTGTCCTACCTCGTTATCCAACACAGCTATCCTTTCCTGTCCTCCTTATGCATTAACCCTACCTCGTTATACACCCGTCCTTCTCAACACGGCTATCCTTTCGTACCCCTTATGCATTAATCCCACCTCGTTATCCAACACAGCTATCCTTTCCTGTCCTCCTTATGCATTAACCCTACCTTGTTATCCACCCGTCCTTCTCAACACGGCTATCCTTTCATGTACCCCTTATGCATTAATCCCACCTCGTTATCCACACTTCATTTTCAGCACAGCTATCCTTTCCTGTCCTCCTTATGCATTAACCCTACCTCGTTATACACCCGTCCTTCTCAACACGGCTATCCTTTCATGTACCCCTTATGCATTAATCCCACCTCGTTATCCACCCGTCCTTCTCAACACAGCTATCCTTTCATGTCCTCCTTATGCATTAACCCTACCTCGTTATCCACCCGTCCTTCTCAACACGGCTATCCTTTCATGTCCTCTATCCATTACCTCTACCTCATTAAGAAGTGCTAGAATCTGCACTGATTCATTGAGAAAATGTAATCCCAAATATAACATGATGCATCTACTTTCCCATCCAGAGAAGTAACGAATGGAGAGTACCTCTGGCTTTGTACACGTCAGGAGATAAGGTCTGCCCAAACAATGCAAAGGTAAGCGTGGTAGCAATACCTCCCTTGAGTGCGAGTGAGTGAGTGAGTGAGTGAGTTTAGTTTTGTTGCGCTTTTCTCAAACTTCCAGCAATATGATGGCGTGAGACGCCAATGGGCTTCACACAGTGTACTCATGCGGGGAAAATGATCCACGGTCTTCAGCGTGACGAATGATTGCATTAACTCTAAGGCTGTCCCGCCGCTCCTCTTTTGAGTCTGTCAGAGTAAATCACTACATTAGAATAGAATGAACTCCACTGCATAACACATTAACATATTACTGAAAGAAATTGGTTTAACGTATTTTATATCACGTATTAATCCAACATGGCAAGTAAATATCGTACCTTCTGTGTTGTGTTATGTCTGATGTGTATTTAACATTGATATCTTTTAAAGGAATTATAATACTATACAAGTGCATACAATTCGGTTCTAGTTTTTGAGAGATCTCTTCTGGGCGCTGAATGTGACGTTAGGCAGATGAAAACCATTTCACCCATGCACAAGCCCGTTAGTTCTTGCAATCAGACTTTAGCCACTGACCCTATCAGGTGTAAGCATATACTATGGGATTTCCTGATTCTATTGCTCTTTGGCAGCCTATGCCAGAGTGGTTTTGTTCGGTGACCTCTTGATGGCACGCGACTTGTTGAAAACACCATCTACAAATGGAGAATCTTGTCAAAGCTCTACTATTTACAGACAGCATGGTGCAGCGTTTTGAACTGTTTGTAATTCTAGATTCAGATGGGACAAGCCATGTATTATGATGCCATCAACAAAACAGACGCTGCCATCATAAAATACAGACGAGCGATTGAGTAAGATCTTTTCTGTGTTAGTGGGCAGTGTTTTAAGAGCATTCTAAACAGTTGGTTTTCCAAAACAAAAATTCTTCAGTCGGCGGCCAAAAACTATACATTAAATTCCTAATGATTTAAGATATAATGTCGCCATAGAAGGAAACGGTAATATCCATGCTACATTTCCTTAGCTTGGCAATTTCAGAGAATGCATTTAACCAAATACGCATTGTTGTGTAAATATGATTACATTGTCTCATAACGCCTAGGTTCAATAACTAATGCACATGCATAACATTTTATGTAATATTTGATTAAAACCTAATTACTGGTTACACATATATTCTTCATCATCGCTGCTTGTATTAACAGCAACACAGTTATATTTTCATTTAAGGATCGTTTTCCCATTAGGTTGAATTCTCAGGACTACGCATCAATGCTTTACTTGGCCGTCATCTTCAGACGTGAAGGCGAGATGTTGGAGGCTGAACAGCTGCTTGAGAGATCTGTCGCTATCAGGTACAGCAGCGTCCATCTACATGCATCTTGGTGGTGGTGTGTGGCCTTGTGAGTCCAGGTCACAAATACGTTGAAGTTAAGCAACGATGGTCACAGAGAGTCTTTGGATGGGAGACCGGGTTTCGCAGCCTGACTCCTGAGAGTTTCTATGACATCAGTCCTGCCCCACAAATGATGCATACCTCGCACTTGCGGTCTAACACTACAAATGCCTCCACAACCAAGCCCCATCCTATCTCACTGACTTGATCGCTGTATACACACCAGCCAGAACTCTTCGATCTCAGAACCAGCTCCTACTTACTGTACCAACGTTTCGACTTTCCTCATTTGGTAAACGATCATTCTTTCATGCAGCCCCAAGACTATGGAATTCATTGCCAGTCCACATCAAAGACTCTGATTCCCTGACAGCTTTCAAATCACGACTTAAGACTTACCTTTTCTCCTCTGTATATAACTGACTCTCTCCCTCTTCCCCCTGCATGCACTAGTGTGTGGATTATAGCGCATAACAAATGTCCATAAGAAATTACCTTTACTTAAGTGAGTTTGTTCAATTGCCTCTGTTCACCCAGCAGTGAACCCAGTGCGATAATTTGTATGACTGTTAACCTTCTGCCTCCTCAAAGGCAGCTTGGATTATCCGGGGTAATAATGTGATGGCGGCTAGAGCATGCACACGTGCGTGGAAACAGGCGCTTGATAAATAGCCATTTTAATAGACGTTTAGAAAGGGCATATTCCACTCCCTACTGAAAGATAAGAGAAACAGCCAAAGTATTGGGAAGTATCGGCTCCGGAGAGTCAATGAAGACTCTATTTTACCCAAACAAAAGTACTTTAAAGTAATAACTTCATTAAAAAGGTGTTTGCAAGTTTATTGTTTTCATGTCACTTGATTATGTGGTCCATCATTTAATTGTCTTATGTATTTAGAGTGAGTGAGTGAGTATGGTTTTACGCCGCTTTCAGCAATGTTCCAGCAATATCACCAAAAATGGGCTTTACACATTGTACCCATGTGGGGAATCGTACCCGGGTCTTCAGCATGATGTGTGAGCGCTTTAACACTAGTACGGTTCCTCACAGCCCTTTTTTAATATACCTGGAGGCCTTATGGCAGGTATCCTGCTGTGCGGTGTCTGGTATCAATTAACACTTTACACAATAAAGATGACTTTGTAATAAAAAGCAATTAAATGACACCCCAACCCGAAAACAATAATTAAAGACTTTATATTTCGCAGAGTGTTAGTGGTAGGTGTCACCGGTAGGGCTGAACATTCTAACCCTTTTCGTAAACACCCGGTGTCATGACTGATCTTATTATTATATTATTTGCACAACTCTTGTACCTTTTATGGAATCTGTTTCGGCACAAAATAGAGACTGGCTAATATTTTTATATAATAAGTATGCATATTTTGCTATGCCACTCAAAATATTACTTGAGTCAAGCATTATGAAATGAAAACTTTGCATAATGTTTTCCTTACATTGACAGATCAGACAACGTAGAGGCGTTGATGGACCTAGGCGTAGTTCGAGCAGAACTGAAGAGGAATGAATTGGCAGAGACAAGCTTCCTTGAAGCTATTCGAGAAGACAACAAATGCGTTAAATGCTATTTTAACCTTGGGAATTTTGTATGTTTTCCACGTCAGAAAGAGTTGTTATGTGAATCATTAAATCTGTATCTCCTGGGATATTGTGGAAATCAATAATTTAATACAGGAACTACAAGATTCAAAGGGTTTCCTGCATTCCCCCGAAACAAAACGTCATATATTTGTGACAGGTTTATAGTCAGATTCAAGCCGATTCATGATAAATTGATGGTAATGCCTTCTGAATTGACATCTGTCCATGTAAGGGGATATTTAAATCTTTTTTGTACATCTGTGTATATTTCCAGTAGCCTTTGGACTGCCACAGAACAAATAATTTCTCTCGTAATTTTCAATTATTTTATGTGACGCATGTAGCTCCGTGTTAGAGTTGGTCATCAGCAACCCATGCTTGTCAAAACAGGCGACTAACGGGATCGGGTGATCAGAACTGGTTGACACATGTCATTGTATCCTGGTGATGCTCATCGATGCTCATGATATGTATCACTGGATTATCTGGTCCAGACTCGAGTATTTACAGACCGACGCCATATAGCTGGAATATTGCTGAGTGCAGCGTTAAAAAACAAACAATAATTAGATTGTAATATAATCTGTGTTATGTTATAAAAGAAAAAGAAACATCCCCCGGAAAATTGTTTGCCTTGTAATGACGGCTGTTTATTTAATGTTTCATTAGTATCGAGGCACGGGACGATCTACCGAAGCGATCAGTGCATGGCGAAATGCAACCGATTTATACCCCCGTTACACGCCAGCATGGAAAAACGCCATCCTGCTTCTGATTGACTTGAGTAAGTTGATTGTCGTTGCTGTAGTTGTTGGAATCCACAATCACCAACATTCCAGCTATATGACGCTGACATGTAAATACTCGTATCGAGATTAGTTAATTCTGTGACTGATAGAATGAGCAAAGATACACAACCCTGAGTTCGAATTTGCTGGGGATCTAGTCTTAACCTCATTGCGAGCTAACTCGAGTTACCTGTCTGAGGTACGTATAACATAAATAATTAACTTCAAAAACCTATTTTATTCATCGTTTCAAAAAATTAAGTTATTGATAGAATGAGCAAAGAACCATAACCCTGGCTTCGAATTTGCTGGGGATCTAATCTTAGCCTCATTGCGAGCTAACACGAGTTACCTATGTATTATATACTCTCTTCAACTGTATTTTTATGTTTATTTTGAAACATCTTGTAGGCTTTATGAGTCAATGAAATATAGCGAAATTGCAAACTGGGAATGCAGACTTATCCGTCTTTGGCACCAACTCGAGGAAAGTCAGTTTGAGTGTCACATGGAGACGTGTGTTGGCGCTGAAGTCAATACCTCGTGTGACCACCGTGGGCATCCAGAACTGCACGGCATCGCCTCGGCATCGAACGAATAAGTCTCAGAATCTCGTGTTGCCCAATTGCAGCCCAATCTGCCTGTAGTGCCTGTGCGAGTTGCTGAAGTGTCTGGGGCTGAGGGTTACGGCGTTGCACCCGTCTGTCCAGGGCATCCCACAGATGTTCGATCGGGTTTAAGTCCGGTGATCTTGAGGGCAAGGGGAGCACATTTATGTTGTGGTTCTGGAGGAAGTCTCTAGTGTGACGTGCTGTGTGGGGCCTAAAATTGTCCTGTTGAAACAACTCCCTCTGGCGATCAATGCTTGGAAGGATGTGTGGGCGTAGGATGTCGTTACAGTATCGTTGAGCTGTCAGGTTACCCTGGATCATCACCAAATCACTTCTCCTACGGCGGGTGATCGCCTCCCACATCATAACACTTTCCCGGCCGAAACTGTCCACCTGGGGAACGCAAGCGTCGGCGAAACGTTCACGTCGACGTCTGTACACCCGCATTCTTACATCGCGTCATTCCAATAGAAATCGTGATTCATCACTGAACCAGATTCTACGCCAATTCGGTAGGTTCCAGGCCTGAACGTTGGTGCACCATTGAACTCGATGTCGACGATGTTGTTGTCGAAGCACAGGGCCAAAATAAGGTCTTCTGGCACGTAAACCAGTCTCTCTCAACCTGTTCCTGACGGTTTGTGCAGAAAGCCTCCTCAATCCGGGTATTTGTCGAGCGGTACTGGTCGCCGTAGCTGTTCGATGACGCAGGTGATGTACCCGGATGTAGCGATCCTGCGCCGCAGTGGTCGCTCGAGGTCGCCCACTACGAGGGACACCTGCTACCGCATTCTGCCGGCGATATCTCTCCCAGAGCCGTGAAATGGTGCTTTGGTGAACATTCATGCGTCGGGCAACTGCACGTTGAGACTGGCCAGCTTCAAGCAAACCAATGGCGATATGACGGTTGGCTTCACTTAGACGTGGCATTTTGCGTTCGTCAACAATATTCCAAATACAGTGAATAATCGATAGACAGCGATCAACCTTTTATACCCATCATTGAGACTATCTGATCCCCAACTTTCACGAGCATTGCATGTGAATTGTGTATTCTGTGACACTACACGCCGAAATTGAAAATCATGCTGTGAAATACGGGTATTTTACGGATGGTGCGTTTTGTTGTGATGTTTCAAAACATAAACACCATAGGATTCATAAACAGAACAAAACCTTTGTAAAATATGAATCACGTTTTAATTCATTGCTACATGAAATTGCTATTTTCATGATGCGTTTCTTTTTTGGAGAGTATATAATAATAAAATTCAAAAACATATTTTATTCATCGTTTCATGTGAATAAAATATATTTCGTTTTGTTTTTGTAACTCGTACAGAATAATAATACAAGTTTCAAACATATCTGGAAAATGTATGTCTTGTCTTAAATGCTTCTTTTTAATTCATAGCACCTTAAACATCAATAGAATTGTCAGTGAAAGGGTTAATCTCAAGTCCTCATGTATCTGTAGGCAAGACTGAGTCATGGGTCAAAAGTAGATGTTTTTGGAATAACCTTCTTTTCCAGCGATATGATATTTTCGGTGTGATAACAGATATTTATGATTTAGATATACTTCTACCTTTCATTCAGAGAAGTACGACAAAGCTATTGAGGTTGGTATAGAAGCACTGAAGGCACTGCCAAAGGAAACAAACCTGATGTTCCATCTGGCCAATACTTACATCATGGTGGATAAGTTCCAGGAAAGTGAGGACCTGTTCCTGGCTGGACTACAGATAGACCCACACAGCGCCAAGTTCCATCACAACCTAGGTAATATTGCCCACAGCTATTTTCCCCCTTTTACCAAAAGGACGGTCAACAATGGGTATCATGTTCTATATTCATGAGAAAATAATGGTCCAAATATTTTGTCATGTTCCAGAATTTTGACAGACATCTTAGTTAAGTTTCAAATGCATCTAGCCGCAGGCTCACAACATGCACTTTGAATGCACCATTCTGCACCCACGTATAGGTGTTGCAAATCCCCTTGTCTGTTTCAGAGTTCATAATTTGTATAGTTGGATGAGTTATAGTATTCTCCTAAATTCGTTTTTTAAAATTAAGACCTTTACTTTATTGCGTCACTTGATCTAGCGTCCGTAAGCGGAATATACCATCATTGTGTTTGTCCGTCCCCTTTGTTTGTGTGTCCTCCAGCTTAACGGTTTGCTATTGCCAGGTGTGCTGTACCATCGGTGGGGAAACACTGACCAGGCCGAGGTATCTTTCACACGGGCAGTGGAACTGGAACCAACTGATGCAACGTACCTTCAAAACTTACATCTGATTCAAGCCAAAATAAGGAACAACGCGTAGGCCATATATGACGTTTTGATAAGCATATTCATAGAACGTATGTAAAACAAAACCCGAAAAGATAAACCACCAGCCAAAGAAAACAAATACGACAGTGACTGTTATTGGCCAAGAAGGAAAACTCAGGATGATGTAATTCCGTGTCTGCACATACCAGAAGACAGGTCCACTCCGTCACTATGGCATTGTTTCCTTTGTGTAACTTCCAGTGAGACCTTTTAGAAGTACTTACAATGGGCGCTGGGTGCTTGCCTCTACCTGTGTTGCAAATTGGTATCAAGGGTGTCCATCTGTCTAAGGCCTCATCAGATATGTGAAAATAAGATATGTGAGAATATAATTACACAATCATTCCACCACCCTAAAACACCCATATGGGCTGATAGTGATTTTGGATAGGAAGTTTATAACAAATTATACAAATGTGGCAAATGGGTATGAAACACATATACTGTAAATGTAAGGAAGGATAACAATATATGGATGACCAGAATAAGGAGATGTATATATACAAGTGTGAGAGAGTACAAGTATGCCCACCATCCTTTTTCTGCTCATCACTTGCTTGAGGGGTGAGGTAGCCTAGTGGTTAAAGCGTTCGTTCGTCACTCTGAAGACGCGGGTTCCATTCCCATATGGGTACAATGTGTGAAGCCCATTTCTGTTGTCCTCGCCGTGATATTGCTGGAATATTGCTAAAAGCGGCGTAAAACCTACTCACCCACTCATCTTGCTTCATAACGGTGTTTGAACCAACACATATACGTCGCTCTCGCTGTAATAAAGAAGTTGTTCATCCATATATTATTATCCTTCCTGACAGCTCGGTGCCCTAAATGCCTCTCATGTCATATTTGTTCTACTTTATCTTAAGATATATAGATTACAGAGATCAAACTAAATGCTTCCAAACAGCGACGGCGCTCCTACGAGCACAAGTATGAGTGTGACATCACTCTCTTCTAACAAGTATTATGTTTGCTATGTGGGAAATATACTTTTGCTTATTACGCTTTTGAAAACTATAATTTCATTTTACTGTTATTGACTTCTATTTTATAAAGTTGAATGCAGTTAATAACACTTTTGTGAAGAATCATGACACATTCACAGTTCATGTGACCTGTGAAGATACGGGTTAGACTTGATTACACAATGCTATTTAGAAATGTAACATATGTTATATTTGGGATTACACTTTCTTAGTAAAGTACAGGTTCTAGTACTTTCGTTGGGTTGAGTCCCATCCGGGATTCGAACCCACACCCTCAGAGTCAGGCACTTTATCGCCAGCACACAAAGTCAGCCGCCTAACCCGCTCAGCCACCGCGACTTCCACAAAAATGAAAGTCGGACAACTGGTAGTCTAGACTGCGGACTTTGTGTACCCCTCTGATATGTGTAAATTGGCACGGCTCCCACGGCCGAAAGTTATGATTACACAATGCCATTCAGAAAGTGATCAAATGTAACATATGTTATATTTGGGATTACACTTTCTTAGTAAAGTACAGAATTGGTCTTCAGCAACCCATAATTGTAAGAGGCGACTAACGGGATCGGGTGGTCAGGCTCGTTGACTTAGTTGACATGGACCGATGCACATTCACTTGATGGTCTGGTCCAGACTCGATTAATTACAGACCTCCGCCATATAGCTGGAATATTGCAGAGTGCGGCGTTAAACAACAAAACAACCAGCCAAACCATGCCGTGACGAAGGGACCAAGCCCGGAAAACCGAGTGTTACTTTATCTAACCTAGTTATGAAACTTAAGGATCACGCGTTCTGTAGAGCAACGGGCTGTCTGGATATTGACATTCGTTTATCGAGCTCCCATTATGTCCTTTCAAGCATTCCAGCTGCTACATACGCCGCCAACGACACCACAACAGATACACAATGACAGTGCAGGTTCGCTTCAACGGTTCAATAACCGAGTTTCAAGCCATGATAGCAAGCAGGTCATTTGGATATTTTGAATACATACAGACGAACACCTTAAGTTCCTTTAGTAGGTTGCCCGTGTGACGTACTCCTTGTGTGTGTGTGTGAGAGAGAGAGAGAGAGAGAGAGAGAGAGAGAGAGAGAGAGAGAGAGAGAGAGAGAGAGAGAGAGAGAGAGAGAGAGAGAGAGAGAGAGAGAGAGAGAGAGAGAGAGAGAGAGAGAGAGAGAGAGAGGGAGACTAGTATTTTAACACACAGACGTACATCTTTGTGTAGCCTTTCCCTGAGTAGCAAGGTGTGTAGATGTATGTTCGAATGCCCCGGTATTATCTAGCGTGCATTACCTATTCTAGTAAACAACTAATATGTGGAGGCCATTTTAAGTCAGAATATGCCGTCATATATTTGGTCTGTGTCTTAGGTAAGGCGTCAGCCAACAAGAACAGTCAGCTTAATAAACAATAACAGATTGAAAAATTATGTTCATTTCAGCAAGTGGGTAATATATATTCAGATATTTCATCGGTACATGTATGGTGAACATACGGGTGGTGTTCATATAGGGCCTAAATCAACGTTTTCCAAATCCAATGGGCTCGTGAATAGCATCCAACCACGATGGGATCATGAACTATATGTCACGTGTTGTTTCGTTCTGGATACGTCTGCTTCGGCATCCAGACACACGTTACTCACGTCGCTCGTATGATATGTTGAAGCGTCTAGACGACAATGGAGATGTTAACTGGGCTTCGGCAACCAGACACACGTTACTCACGTCGCTCGTATGATATGTTGAAGCGTCTAGACGACAATGAAGATGTTAACTGGGCTTCGGCAACCAGACACACGTTACTCACGTCGCTCGTATGATATGTTGAAGCGTCTAGACGACAATGAAGATGTTAACTGGGCTTCGGCAACCAGACACACGTTACTCACGTCGCTCGTATGATATGTTGAAACGTTTAGACGATAATGGAGATGTTAACTGGGCTTCGGCAACCAGACACATGTTACTCACGTCGCTCGTATGATATGTTGAAACGTTTAGACGATAATGGAGATGTTAACTGGGCTTCGGCAACCAGACACACGTTACTCACGTCGCTCGTATGATATGTTGAAACGTCTAGACGACAATGGAGATGTTAACTGGGCTTCGGCAACCAGACACACGTTACTCACGTCGCTCGTATGATATGTTGAAACGTTTAGACGATAATGGAGATGTTAACTGGGCTTCGACAACCAGACACACGTTACTCACGTCGCTCGTATGATATGTTGAAACGTTTAGACGATAATGGAGATGTTAACTGGGCTTCGGCAGTACGATCAAAGTTATTTCAACATGGCTTTGCTTATGTATGGATGTATCAAAATGTTGGAAACCGTGAACTGTTTTTATATCTTTAAAACAACGTTGTAAAGACATGTACTACCAACAATGGACGCAAGATATGAGAAACTCAAGATCATTGTACATGTATTTTGCTATTAAATCTGATATTGTTCGAGAATTGTATTTGATTGCACTCTCTTCGTTACATCTGCGCATAGTTTTAATAGAAAATTAGATGCGGCTCCACCAATCTGAAAATAGTTTCATATAGAAGATCTAAAGACAATGACATTAGTGTAGCTTTGTGTGATAATTGTAAGTGTACCAGAGGATGAGTACCATGTATTAATCAAATGTCCTCTATATGCAGCGGAAAGAACTCACTACATACCATGAACACAAATAAACAAAGAAATCGTACATCTTCTAAATACTAAGAACCACAATGTCACACTCCGTGTAGTAATTTTTGTAAACAAAATCATGTCCATGCGCTCTGTAAACAATTCATCCAAATTGTGATTTTGTATATTAGCCTCATGGCCACATTTATGAAATAAACCTGTCTGTCTGTCTGTCTGGTTCTTCAATATGCCAGTGACATCAAAAACTTACGGTTTAGTTGCTTTTGTATGTTGCCTGTTATTATATGGCTCTGTGGTGCTTTGTTGTGATTTCATGACTAAATACCATCAATGAAAGGTTAACAAATATATTAATAAATAATCACGATGAGATATGCGTAAATTTTATTTACATTTTGTCCACAACATAATATGCCGCCATAGTATCACCAATCAAAACCACAACATTTCAGTCATGCTGTGCAACCAGTCTTTATAATAAATATTTAAACATCCTTTTCATAGGAAAATAATCAATAGTGTTACACATTCACACTTTTATTTCAACAGCAACGATTGGAAATGAAAGTAAGATTGTATGTAATATATTTAGCACAAATCTGTGTATGTAACTGAAAATGCATCACTGAAAGACATCACTGAACCGTTGGAATGAAGAGAAGCACACTGTCTGATAATTCTACCAATGTGTTCATGTTATTGGCTGTACTCTATGCCGGGTATCCGGTTAGGTTCTAATTATTATATATATGAATATATACAGACGTTTTTCATATTTTCTCGGCAAAAATAATATAATATATCAATAGTACTTTCAGTGCTATAAGCTTGTTATTCGTTGTATGGTATGCTTGGTAATTGATTATGTTCTAATTATTATATATATAAACATATACAGACGTTTCTCATATTTTCTCGGCAAAAATAATATAATATATCAATAGTACTTTCAGTGCTATAAGCTTGTTATTAGTTGTAGTGTATGCTTGGTAATTGGTTTTGTTCTAATTATTATATATATGGATATATACATACGTTTCTCATATTTCTCGGCAAAAATAATATAATATACTGTAAGCCATTAAAAACGCAATTTAACATTCATACTTTCTGTACCTACACTAATTTCAGCATATATAAACCTAACTGGCAGATATGTTTTAAGTGAAAATCTGTGAATAATTTCATCTGAAAATGTCCAGTCAACAAAAACATCAGTGACGCAACAACATCAAACAAAGGAGGGGTCACTTGCAGTCAATATCGTGTGTGTCCACCGTGCGCTGCAAGACATGCTCGCAGTCTTTGGGGCATTGAAAGACACACATTTCTCAGGAACAGCTGTTGGATGGTCTGCAGCCTCTGGTGGTCTGAGGTCTGATCATGACACCACCCCCTTCAAAACGATCATGTTCAAGGACACAGTTTGGCGCAAGTCTTTCTCCTTTACGTCGATAAATCTGTTGACGTCCATCTGCAAAGGATAAGTTAAACCTGGATTCATCTGAAAAAATGACATCTGGCCATGTCCTGTTGCCAAGATTGGCCCCATTTGCATTGAAATGACGTTGACTTGTCCCAATTGTCCTCCTTGCCTAATCATCAGCTGTTTGGAACCGATTTCGCAGGTGTGAAACTCGGATATTGCGGTTTTGTCGAGCTGTTATCACAGGTAGTGCACCAGGTCGCGGACGATCAGCAACACTTCCGGTAGCCCGAAAACTTTGTCTGAGTCGACTTACAGTGGATGGATGCACATTAAAGTGCCTGGCTATCATCACATCTGAAGCACCTTGGCTGACCATACCGATAACCTGATTCCTTTCGTCTTGTGTCAAGTGTGGCATTTTCTCAAAGTGATTGAGTTCCACAATTCCTTGTGCTTTTACAGGGCCTGGGTGCAGGTAATGCGTGTGCACAACGTGTTTCATGAATGTGGTTGTGTTTACGAGAAATGTCAAAGGTTCAGTTTTAAGTATCAAAGTTCATGTGAGAGGAATGCTCCGGGACTCCAACTCGAAATGGTCCAGAATAACAGCCTTTTATCCCTACATCATCTGTATTGCAGGAAAAAATCTTCAATAGAACTTTTGTAAGTTTCAGGACAACAAATACCAATTGCGTTTTTAATGGTTTACAGTATATATCAATAGTAGTTCTATAAACATGTTACGAGTTGTATTCTAAATATTTTATTCAAGTGTCACGCGGTGTTATGAGTGATGTATCTTACGAGCCCCATATACTGGCTATGTGACATTAGCCAATAGTATTCAGGAACATGTACTGTAGTAGAACATGTGATTACTAGCGCAACTCTGGCTACATCTTTTTATTTTGACAAAATCTGCAATATACATTGACCATCCTCGATATCTCCAGGGTATACGTTCCGATAAATCTCCACTAGTACCTTGGATGCATCTACGGCTCGGAGCTAAAATGTTATTACCTCCTTTTACTGGCTTTTTATCCAATCAGGTGTCTACGTGAAGTTGAGCGTACCAATCACAAGGCTTCTATCATATGCGGACTACATATGTCAACATTACCATTCATACAATGTTCTTTGAATCTGCACAGTTGTCAGATACTGAAATAAAGGTACAGTCCTACAGTTATTCAGAGTTTACGTGTTCATCCCCATTTTTCTGTGGAGTGTTTGCAGGCTTTTCAGGATAAGAGGATCATTTGGGTTGAGCTTCTGTGCCGTCAAGAGGGCTGCCTCAGCTTTGTCATGCTGCCCCCACTCAGTGTATAACACACCTGAAAAAGACAACCACATTAGCACTATGAATATGTGTAAGAGGGAGTGAGTGAGTTTTGTTTACACCTATTTGGAAGCATAGCTGTTGGGATTCGAACCCAACAGCTATGAGGGACCTTAGACCATTGAGCTACGGGTGACCATAAACACTTAAAGTTTCTCGAGGAAGCATCAAATGCTATGACACGTAATCTCTCTGACTGACTGGTTGGTTGGTTGATTGGTAAGTATTTTTACCTTACATTGGGGTTGGGGGAAAATTTCCTAATATGATTTTGGACGAAGTACACACCTAAATTATGATGTATGTAATACTTGGAATTGTCTCTTTGGAGGGCTTTCAGAAAGAGTTGTTCCCCTTCCTGGTACCTCTTCACCTTGACGTAAACACCGGCAACACGAGCCAAAAGGTCCGTCTCCTTGGGAAGCTGATAGATAGCTTTCCTACCCGCCTCAATAGCTTGGTCGTAATTGCCTGTGTGAGACAAAATCAGTTGTCAGCCGGATAATAGCTGTGTGTGGAATACAGTGACACTGATGAAATGTTTAAATGTATAGACTGCACATGTAATATGATTAAACTAGACACTGGATACATACAGTTTGTGCTATTTGTGGATAGCAGATTTTGACTGGATTTATTGCTAACCAAGTTCGAATTCTCACATCTTACCTATCTGATTCAGGATGAGGAAGGAGCTTTTCCCGGATCCTGCGTGGTTGACTTGGATAACACATGTCATTGCATCATCGTATTTATGTCAGTTGTGTAATGGATGTTCATGATGTTGTTCACTGGGTTGTCTGGTCTAATCTTGATTATTTACATACGGCCGCCATATAGCTGGAATATTGCTGAGTGCGGCGTTAAACAACAGTCAACCAACCAACCTTACCCAGATGATCCAGGATGAGGAAGGAGTTTTTCCAGGCTCCTGCATGGCTCGGACTGATCTGTGTGGCATTCTGCCATGCCGCGATAGCCTCTTCATGACGACCGAGTAACTTGTACTGCAGGGATATATAATGTAACATATTTCTAAACTGTATGAAAGACCAGACATAGCTTGTAAAATTCAAGCTCTCATATTAAACATTTAATTTTTCTCCTTCTTTAGTAAAATTGCCCAGTTCCTTGGAATTGTCAGCTCTCAACATCCCGATTAAGAAAATAAACTCACAGGTGTTGTGTTACTCACCAGGTTGCCAAGGTTGTAATGACAGTCTGTGTACCTGCTGTCTAGTTGAAGGGCCCGGAGAAAGCTGGCTTCTGAAGACCCTGTGTTATTCAGCTGGACCTGCACAATGCCCAGGTTCATCCACGCCTCTGCAGACTCTGGACTTGGAATTAAAATGTAGACAGTAGTTGAGTGATCCTCTAGTTTGAATGTTCAAACATTTATCTAACGGTTGATTTTACGTTGAAAGAGTTGTTCACAAACCATGTGTTTTGAAAGCGACGGAATTGTACATAATGTGGTGGAATCCCGGAGCACGTAAATGGTATTGACACACCAAGGATCAGAATCTAAAGGTTCAAGATTTCAAACCCAGGTTTCTCTGTCACTTCTTCGCAGATTGAACCCCATCCCTCTGCCCCGCTTACACCGCATTGTCAGTAATCAGTCGACTCTAACACTGACACATATCAGCGGATCCGGAATCAGATTAAGGAAACAATTTTGCACAGCTCAAACAGTCGTCTTCGAATCAGATGTCCGTCGATAATGTAGAACCATCAACTCATGCAGAACTTTTTTATGGTAATGAAAATAGTTTTGTTGATTTTATTGTTGTATATCAGTAGATGCTGGCTTTACTTAGTACGGACGACTAAAGCTTCTATTGGTGTAAGGAAAGTCCACCAAGGATGGTACCTGTATCCGATGGCTTTGTCCAGAAGCCCCTTCGCCTCCAGAGCACTGCCTTTCTTCCTCAGGAGGACTGCCAAGTTGATCAATGCAGCCATGTAGCGCTTATTCGACCTGGGGAAACATGGAGCTTTAATCATTTAGCAATTACTAAACTCAGCACATCAAGCAAATGGAACGTGAGTGTTGAAGCTAGTGTATCAAGGATCATCTACCTGGGTTGATGTTCTGGCTTAACCTAGTGAGGCCAGTGCACGTGTAATAATCCAATGAATAATCCAATCGCTCGGGTGGATTTCCCTGTAGACACATATATATTCGGTCGACTCTACTACTCAACCATATCAATGGATCCTGAATCGGATTAAGGATGTAATAGTCGTCTTGCAAGGAGGGGTTCTTGGAGACGTGCAGAAATGTTTTATGGTAATGAAGTGAAGTTGTACATCAAAGATGGTTGTTTTAGATGTTGGCTTTACTCAGTACATATTATAACATAATGCTTCTATGTGATTAAAGAAAGTCCAGCAGGGACGGTACCCGTGACCAATGGCTCTGTCCAGAAGTTCCTTGGCTTCCACTGCATTGCCTTTGTCCGTCAGGATGATCGCCAGGTTGATCAATGCAGCGTTGTAATGCGGATGCAATCTGAGGAAACATGATGCTGTCATATGTTCAAAAGAACACCCTCAACACATCAAGCGAATGACGGGGCTGTGGGGTAGCCTAATGGTTACAGCTTCCACTCGTCATGCGGAAGGCCCTGGTACAATGTGTCCCCTGCTGTGATGCTATTGGAATATTGCTAAAAGCGGCGTAAGACTCACTCAAGCGAATAACACAGGTGTAAAATGGTGAACTGGGGCCAATGTACTTGGGTAAACCTAGTGAGGCTAGTACACTTGTAAAATGGTGCCTGAATGTCGCCGCACTTTGTAATATTCCAACAATATTCCGGCGTCACCAATCAAATCACCTTGTGAAGATTACACATACTCCCCCAACTATGGGTTGTCGTAAGAGACGACCTACTGGATAGGGTGGTCTGTGGATTGCATGTCATCGTACCCCGACGACGTGGGTTTGTGTTCACAATATCAATCACTGGATTGTCTGCCGACTCGGGCATTTACAGGCCGTTGTTAAATGAGTGGAATATTTCTGAGTGTTGCTTTAAACAGCAAACAAAGACCAAATAATCCAGTCATTATAAAGCAAACTGTGGCTGTTAGCGCAAGCAAAGAGTTAGCATCATATACGATGACATACCAGCCAATTAAACACATCATTGTTCTGAAATATAATTTAAAACGACACTTGTGTAAATTAGGATAGTATATACATTTATGTCGTTATGAAGGCATTATATTCCTCTCAATACTTACTTCAAAGTTAGTCTGAATTCATCAATACCAATGTCAGTATTTTCGTACTTTATCACGTTTCCAATGTTGAAGTGAATCTGTAAATACATTAACACAATGTTAGGGGCTAGACGGGTCGAAGGCGCCGACGTTGGCTGTACAGAGTTGCGTCCCTTGGACACCCCAGAAACCTATGATGGTCTTATCGAATCCATTTTGTCATAATTGTGTTTCTTGATTTGTCAGCATAATAGTTGTGCCCCGGCCGCCACTAAATGTCTGAGATGTGGACAAGTTCAAGACTTGACATCCACATTAAGCTGACAGGCTGCAATATTATTGTGAACCACCTTCACTTACAAACTCACTCAACTATTAGTGACGAGACATATAAAATGTCGTTACAATCAGGAGATAATGATATCGTAACTCTTAGTTTGCCACCTGTTTGGAAAAGCGTATTACCTTACGTACAAACGTGGCCATGGTATAGTAATATTATATTATATATACACAAAGAACTAATTAAGCACCCATTGAAATAAAACAAGATTGGATGAGCTCCGATCTTAACCCTTTGAAGCATATCTGGGACATGATCGTCGTGTGCAACAAAGGGAACCTCTTGTGCAGAACCTGTCCCAATTGGAAGCTGCTTTACACGAGGGATGGCGCAGACTGTCCCTTCAGATGATAAGGAGGCTGACAGGGGGTATAAGGAAGAGAGTGCTGGCTGTCATACACATGGAGGTTACAGTCGGTTTTGACCTTGAATCGTGTAAGACACGGAAATGACATTTTGAAGGTTCACATTCACCAAAAAAATTAACATCAAACCTACCCTAGCATTCAGGGGACAGACTTTGGCTCCTGATGTGTAAATTGACATTTTCGTTTTGAAGTCCTGGCTCCTCTGAAATGATATGTTCATATATCAGCTTTGACTTCCATCTTCCAACCATTTGTCCATCAAGATGGTTTCTACATAAGGAGCTGTTGACGCGTCAGTGTTTGATTTGTTACTGATGTTTATAGGACGAGAGCGCACATAATCATCTATCATCTATTACTGAAAAGAAAGACTCACCTCGATCGATCGAAGAACAAATAGCAGTATGAGGACAATAAACCCGGCCGACAGCCCCTATAGAACAGAAATACTTTTATTAAAACTTGTAAAAATTAAAATTGATTCCAAACTATTTTGTTTCAAATCGATAGATTCTTCGAGGAATTTAAAACTACTGCAAAAACCAAAACTACTGAAATGTGCTTGCCATTACTGATAAAATTTGGTGAAGATAGCATTTGATACTATTAAACGATGTTGATAATAGATTTTTAATATTTAGTGAAAATACAGGCAAAATAAAAGCATGCCTATTTTGACACAGGGCACAAAGACATTCAGGTCTACTTGACCAATCCAATACCACGTCATACAACGGACTGTGATACTGCATGGATTAACTGTTGTAAGAAAGCCTAAAGCTGCTGCATACAATGTATTTTTTCAGACTTTCTCGTTGCTCGGTGCTTGGGAGTATTTTCTTGTTATTTCAATAGTTTTCTCGTTAATTCAATTATGTTATCGTTTTTAGAGAAACTTGAAGTGACTTAAAAATACTGAAGCAGAGAGGAATTAATCGAAGCAACGAGAAAATTAGCTGTAAAACGCAGCAAAAATGCATTCGTTTGTTTACAAACAACATCGTACAGCTGTAATACTGCTGAATCAAATATATTCTCATGATATAAACACAACTGTACAATCGATTCTGCATTTAGCAGAAATTTCAAATGGATGTGGAAATGGTTTTGTCGCTGCGATTTACTGTTACCCGAGTAGCGTTATGTATCTAGTATATGTATAACACATATCACGCATTTATGAAGACATGTCTTGCAGGGGACGCAGTTTCCTTTGGCTCTGACCTTATATGATCACCATGATAACTGGTACCGAGAAACACACATTTCTACGTAATATTAATTGACTAAAAGTAACAACATTTAGTCTACAGTGTCATTTGAAACAGACAATTATCCTGTGAAACGAATCTTCATGCAAGAGAAAAATTAAAACTGATTGAATATCGACCCCACAAGTGCGACACAACATGCACCAAACATAAATGAAAGGAACCAGAGTGTACATAACACCTAATCTGAACTATCAGCTGTTGTCGTAACACCACCCCCTTAAACAATTGTACGAACGTAACCATTTGTCATTTTATGCAGTGCCTTTGGTAGACTTTCACTTCACAGGTGTAAATTGACCCGTGAAGAACTTGTCTTCAGCAACCAGTGTTGGTCGCAAGAGACAAATGTCGGGCATGCTGACTTTGTTGACACTTGTCAGTGCATCCAAATTGCGTAGATCGATGCTCCTGCTGTTGATCACTGGATTGTCTGGTTGTGCGGCGTTGAATAAACAAACAACACATGTAAATTTGAAAACATACACCAGTTCGGACGAAGGTTCCCTTTTGCCCATGTCTCGATTTGAATGTATGTAACGACTCATTCAGCCTCACAATGGCTGTCTGTAGGTATTCCAGACAAGGCCAGACAAAGCAAGGAATGGCATCCTGAGTATCCATCTAAACAAATGATGACGTACATCAAACCAAATCAACAAGCCAGACACCACGACCCCATTTGACGTCTCTTACGACGGCACTGGTTATTGAAAATAAATTCTTATCCGAATCTTACCGGACGTTTTCAGAAATAAAATGATTAACAGTCGAATTCCCCGTGATCAGTGGATTTCACATCTTCAAAGGTCCACGGGGCACTTTGGTAGCTTACCTTCTTGGTTGTGGAATGAGCATGAAGACAGATCTGTCTGGCCCCGAGCACCACCAACATACCGAAGCCAGCACAGGACAGGTACAGAATCCTCTCTGCGATGACGAAACCCACACGGAAAAACAGGTTGCTGGCTGGCAGGAAGGGAATACCTAATACTGCCAGCGACGTGATCAGGATCCTGAATATAGAAGTCTAAATATTAGTGCATTCTTATGTTAAACGTCTGAAGTTAACGTGGGTCTCTCCCTACAAACCAATCTCAGCTGGAACTCCCATATATTAACATAGGCTTACTTTGTAACGCTTTGAGTGTTCGGTATCTCCAAACTAAACCATAAAAATACTGCAAGGCTACTAAGAATGAAATAGTTTCAATCAGTTCCTGACACTGAACAGGTCCCTTTAAATGCTTGACAAACACACTTCAAAAACATTTTCCAAACGTTTTAATCGGATTAGAAATATCTTAATGCCCTTAAAACGTCTTCGTAATGCATTGCAATTTGAAACCGATCTGTAAGAAGTTCAAACAATTAGTTTACCATCTTACGCAGGAAAAATGCGGGCTCTATCTGGATCATATGAACTACGTATGTATATACTTTAAAAAACATTTTTTCAAAATCTGAAATGTGGAAATTCGTGAAATTCGTGGAAATTCGTCTAAATAGGTTCTGTCAGCTCCCCCAATTTTGCACAGAGTTATGTAGAACGATTTTCTATGCCTAAGTCATCTATATCAAATCATGTATCCACCTTTGATCTCTGTTCATTTCACCATGGCAACAACGATGAAACAAAAACCCAAACCCGGTCCAGAGAGCTATGACCACTAGGGTTCTTGGATCAGCCAATGAGGTGATGACAGGTATACAACCCATCGCCCAATCACAACACAGCCACCATGGATTCAACAGCAGCCAGGTGTTGATGGCATAAAGGTAGTTGTAGTTTAAAACCTGAAAAAGTACGTATTACATATACATTAATAAATACTCATTACATATAAGGCAGGCAAAGAAATAACAAAGTATTCAACTTGGAATTTTTCTTTGCACAAGCGGTAACTTCCAGGTGATTGCCTAGGATGAGGAGTTCGTTCATGTATCATATTATTTCCAAAATTGTGTACCGTTTGTAGTGATCCGTTTGTAACATACTCGGTCGTCTGTTATTGTCGGATCTTGATCTTGGCACAGGATAGTGATTGTGAAGAAAAGGGCAACTACATCGAGATTACCTTGATTTGATAAAGACCAGCAGTGTTGTCTAGATCCTTCTTAGGGGAAATATTTCTCTCAATTTGAACTTCCTCACGAATGCCTCTCTATAAGCAAGACCTATTGTTGAATGCCTCTCTATTAGCGAGACCTATTGTTGAATGCCTCTCAATTAGCGAGACCTATTGATGAATGTCTATCTATTAGCGAGACCTATTGATGAATGCCTCTCTATTAGCGAGACCTATTGATGAATGCCTCTCTATTAGCGAGACCTATTGATGAATGCCTCTCTATTAGCGAGACCTATTGATGAATGCCTCTCTATTAGCGAGACCTATTGATGAATGTCTATCTATTAGCGAGACCTATTGATGAATGCCTCTCTATTAGCGATACCTATTGATGAATGCCTCTCTATTAGCGAGACCTATTGATGAATGTCTCTCTATTTACGAGACCTATTGATGAATGTCTCTCTATTAGCGAGACCTATTGATGAATGCCTCTCTATTAACGAGACCTATTGATGAATTTCTCTCTATTAGCGAGACCTATTGATGAATGCCTCTCTATTAACGAGACCTATTGATGAATGTCTATCTATTAGCGAGACCTATTGATGAATGCCTCTCTATTAGCGAGACATATTGATCAATGTCTCTCTATTAACGAAACCTATTGATCAATGTCTATCTATTAGCGAGACCTATTGATGAATGCCTCTATTAACGAGACCTATTGATGAATGTCTCTCTATTTAGCGAGAATGCCTCCTAGCGAGACCTATTGATGAATGCCTCTCTATATGATGAAATTAGCGAGACCTATTAGCGAGACCTATTGATGAATGATTGATGATGAATGTCTATCTATTAGCGAGACCTATTGATGAATGCCTCTCTATTAGCGAGACCTATTGATGAAATGACCCTATCTATTAGCGAGACCTACCTTGATGAATGCCTCCTATTCTATTAGCGAGACCTATTGATGAATCTCTCTATTAGACCTATTGATGAGACCTATTGAGACCTATTGATGAATGTCTCTCTATTAGCGAGACCTATTGATGAATGCCTCTCTATTAGCGAGACCTATTGATGAATGCCTCTCTATTAGCGAGACCTATTGATGAATGCCTATCTATTAGACCTATTGATGAATGAGACCTATTGATGAATGCCTCTTTATTAGCGAGACCTATTGATGAATGTCTCTCTATTAGCGAGACCTATTGATGAATGTCTATCTATTAGCGAGACCTATTGATGAATGCCTCTCTATTAGCGAGACCTATTGATGAATGCCTCTCTATTAGCGAGACCTATTGATGAATGTCTCTCTATAAGCGAGACCTATTGATGAATGCCTCTCTATTAGCGAGACCTATTGATGAATGTCTATCTATTAGCGAGACCTATTGATGAATGCCTCTCTACTAGCGAGACCTATTGATGAATGCCTCTCTATAAGCGAGACCTATTGATGAATGCCTCTCTATTAGCGAGACCTATTGATGAATGTCTATCTATTAGCGAGACCTATTGATGAATGTTTATCTATTAGCGAGACCTATTGATGAATGTCTATCTATTAGCGAGACCTATTGATGAATGTTGATGAAGAGACCTATTGATGAATCTCTCTATTAGCGAGACCTATTGATGAATGTCTCTCTATTAGCGAGACCTATTGATGAATGCCTCTCTATTAACGAGACCTATTGATGAATGTCTATCTCTTAGCGAGACCTATTGATGAATGCCTCTTTATTAACGAGACCTATTGGTGAATGTCTATCTATTAGCGAGACCTATTGATGAATGCCTCTTTATTAACGAGACCTATTGATGAATGTCTCTCTGAATCTATCTATTAGAGACCTATTGATGAATGCCTCTCTATTAGCGAGACCTATTGATGAATGACCTATTCTGAATCTATTAGCGAGACCTATTGATGAATGCCTCTCTATTAGCGAGACCTATTGATGAATGCCTCTCTATTAGCGAGACCTATTGATGAATGCCTCTCTATTAGCGAGACCTATTGATGAATGCCTATCTATTAGCGAGACCTATTGATGAATGTCTATCTATTA